GCCATAGAAAGGCGTAAAAACCCCCCCTCTCTTTACTCACCTGATTCCAGTACATATATCCCTCGGCACTGGGTTCGTGCTCTGCCTCCTCTGACGACATTCAACAAGTAGCCTTATACGCGTTTGGCCCTCTTCATGGGAAATGACACTGGATGTTCTCATGCAGAGCAGTGAGGACGTCCAGCATCAGTTAGGGGACCAAATACAGTGACACTGGATGTTCTCATGCAGAGCATGAGGATGTCCAGCATCAGTTAGGGGACCAAATACAGTGACACTGGATGTTCTCATGCAGAGCGTGAGGACGTCCAGCATCAGTTAGGGAAACATATGTCAGTTAGGGTCCAGGAAGTGCCTCTAATTCCCGTTAAATGTCCAAGGCAATTGTCCAACTTCTGACCAAAACAAAACCTAAAATTTGTGCTATTTGTTTACTCCATCGTAATTTAAGTTCTTCTTTTTAAGTGCATCAATACATATTCTCATGAACATCAGTACTCCAAGCGGGCGCGTGACTTAGTTCTGTGAGTGAAAGGGATAAAAATCATTATTTGTCTGCACTAGACCAAAAATAATGATATTTAAAAATCCTCTTAACACCAGCCACACCTATTCTATCGTATTATCAAAGCTGCCACCACCATGACCATTTATAAATGGCCTGTGACAAATGCTCTTTCCTACGAACATTCGCCATGAACTCCTGGAGGAGTGTGGAAGCTGGCCTCCTGCCCACCAACTAGGGTCCAGGTCAGAGACACTATTCGGGAGTTACCCCGCCCAGCCACCATTAGCAGCTTTCCCTGGGAGCCCCTGGTTCGGCACTTTCACTTCATTCAAACTGAACCGAATGGACCTCAGCGGTACTTAGGGGACCTCTGGGACTGGGATATAAATGCGTTAAAGACCGGTAAGCATATTATCTCCCAGGAACAGAGAGGCAAACACTAAAACATAAAAATACATTTAAAAAAACATAGAATAACCCCACAAATCATACATCCCCAAATAGCCCTGATCTGAGCACCCAAGTTCTCCAAATAGCGCTCAGATCCATGCAGTGTAGGGGATACGCCACTGTGTTAAGGTTCTGACCAACCGCACACGTGGTCCTTTGCCCAAAATAGTTCCAGGGTGTTTGGTGCTTTTGCCGGTTGACTTTCAGGAGCTACTGCGGCCGCAGTATGGGGTGCTCCGCCTGGCTCTCAGGGAGCATTTGTTCCCTTAGTCTCTGGCACCTTCCCTTAAAAAAGCAGTTCAAAACCCCGGACCAAGTTCCGAATTGCGAAGTTCCGAATTTCGGAAGTGCCGAACCAAATTGCCAAAGTTTTTTTACTTACCCGAATTTCCGAACCAAACCGAATTTGTTGCCAAGAAGATTTAACCCATCACATCCCAGACGAAGTTCATCTCATAAGGTATCATGGCACCTCTATTGGGTAACGGTTTCATGCATCCAATACACACATCATATTAGTTAACAACATTGTAACAAGAAACAATGAATACACACCACATTAACAGACATTTTTTTTACAATGACTCATGGCCACTGGGCATGATAAATACTATATATTGTTTTTTCAAAGGACAAAAATGGCTTTCTTTTGCTCTCCTATATGTATACCTATTGCAATATTAAGTATGAATTAAACGTTAACATTTTCCAAATTAAATGCTAAACTATTAAGTATTATTAAATCTTTAAAATGAAAAAATAACACTTTCTGACAGTTTTGTTTTCAAAATTTTTTACACATTAAGTGAGCTAACAAAAATTACTCAAAATAGTTTAATTTATTATCCACGATTGTAAATGCCTTATATGTCTAGGATTTTAATAAAGATTTTAGGGGTTAAAAAGATTTTTTTTTAATGTATAATGTTTTAATCATATGCATTAAAAATATGAAATTTCTTTTTTTTTTTTTTTTAACCTTCTTTATTTTCATGTGCAGTGATACATACACGCTTTAGTAATGAGCAAAGACATGAGAAACAAGAGCAGTATGTAAACATGAGTGGTCAAGATGTACTGCACTTTTTTATTAAAAGAAAAATATGCTTGGTCCCAATATGTCAGTAGAGTATCGATCAGGAATAGTGATAGAGTAAGGTTGTTCAAACTGACATTAGGGTTAAACAGTAAGATATGGTGTAACATCATGTGTGGTTCATGCAAACTAATAAAAGGCAACCAGGCGAAACCCTAGTTTAAAGGTCAGTTGGTATACTTCAGGGTAGTTACAGCTAAGATATTTGAAGCTGTAGTAGATGGTATATGGCTTGAGGCAAAACTGCAGATAGAACAGGGATAGTAGAAGAAATCACCATAAAGAGTGGAACTATAAAGAGAGTGTTGAAACAAGCCAAAGTCTATACTTCAGTCAATACCACCATCATAGTGAAGTTGTGAACCTGGTCTACAAGCACTTCTGAATTGCCAAGTGAGTACTTCACTGTGTCCAGGACACATGTAGAGATTCTCCAGTCCATGAGTGTAGATAGGAAGGTACAACAACTCCTCCATTTCCCAAGCCCAGGCCAGCTTACAAGCCCCAAGCAGAAGAGCTAAAGTCCTGCAGGACTCTCGATGTAACAGCCCCACAAAGTTGTGGAAGGCAGATGGGTCTGCTGTCCCAGAAGAGGAACAGGATGTCGGAACGGTGCTGGGGGCCGATTATAGTGTGAATCCAGGGCTTTTACAGGAGGTTTCCCGCATCACAGAATGGCAACATAGCTATAGTTTTAATTGTAGAGAGCAGGAGCTATGCAAAGACACGTTCGGCCATCTTGAGCGTCAGGTCCCGCCCCAAAAATATGACATTTCTAACATAGTACTTTGAAAAGGCTCATTGGCTTGCATAAGCTCGAGACTAGCAAAAGGATTTTCACAGAATCAGTAGCTTTAAAAGGAACACTCTAACTTTATGAATAAATATATATATTTCTAATGTTAGCGTGTATCTCTGTTTTTTAGATTAATGTGCCCCCTGCATAAAAGATTTAAAAAAAAGAAGTTTAACACACCTTCTATCCAGTGCCGATCTAGTCTTGGCACTCCAGCTGCAACTTCATTTCTGAGATCATCATTACTGATAATTTAAGGCAAATTCAATGTTTCTCATAGAGAACCTGTGCTCAGCCAAATGTGGTGACATCAAATTATATACAGTCTTTAAGAGGAAGTGCGTGTTTGTTTGTTTTGGATCTATGCAACAAATCTATTACATTAAGAAGTATTGGTTTTCGTGCTTGTAGTTTCCCCTTTAAAAGACAACCAAGAGGGCATGCAATGTTCCTGCTGACTACATAGCTCTCTTTTTGGTTTAGAATAAATGTTTGTTTCGTTATCAGATTTATTTAGAGCACACATTTTTTGTTATTTTCTATTAATTGTGTTGTGGTTATGTTTTTCATTTTTATTTCCTGGCCCATGTAATGTGTGCAAGTCATCCACGGTATTAAAACTAGGTTATTCACTAAGGTCTGATATGTCCTGTCAGAAAGACCAAAATAAGCAGCTGTTTGTCTAACAAGATACCCACTACTTGTAATACTTTACAAATATATAAAAAGAGACAGCAACAAAATCACTACTATATATAGACATGTGCAATTCGTGAATCAAAGTTCAGCTGAATTTAGCAGTTAATTTCTGAATTCTTTACAAACTTAATGAAAACTAAAAAATGTAAACAAATTATTCTGGATCCGTTCATTTTCATAAGGATAGCAAACGTATCTAATAAGTAAGTTAATAAGTAAGTAAAAAAACAAAACTAAGAAAAGCGCTTTTTCATTTTGCTCATTCAGCTGTTTAATGGCCAGCTTCCTATTTGGTACCCTATCCTTGCGTGGGTTTGCCATAATTAAGGGTACCAAATTAGGGAATTATCTACTATGGAAATGAAAGAGCAAACGAAAAAAAATTCAAAGACGAATGAATCAAAACTAAACAGTTTTTTTTTTACCAGTGCACATCTCTAGTTATATCTAAAATTCCTTCTGATGTCAATTGTAGCAATATTGTCTGAACTAATGTCCAACCAGTTAGAAACGAGTATCAAAAATTAAAAAATTATATTTCAGGTTCTAACTTCATTTTTGTATTAGAAAGTAAGAAGCCACTATGATTAATCCTGAAAGTGTTTAAAACTATGTTTAAACTAATCCTCAATGGTTGCACCACAAATCGTGATTAGTAATGTAGCAATGTAAGTAATTATCTAACTCCTATAAGGGTTGCTGCTGTACATGTAGTTAGCCTTGCTTAAAGTAGTGAGCAAAAGGAAACAGCAAAACTCTATATGTGAAATACAAAATAGCTTTTGGCACCTAGCATCTTGGAGCCGTGAATGACTGACATTGTAATGATGTTAGAAAACATACCTAGAAGGACACTTCATAGTGAATCTTGCCATGACCTTAGTATCCAGGGCCAATGTTGGTGCATTTGCATCACTTCAGGGTCTTCGCTTCAGATTTGACACACCAGCATCAACATCATGTCAACACCAGTGTTTTTGCTCCAAAACTGATGAAGGATTGTGAAAATTCCAACAAGGAATCTGGGTCAAAAAACATGTTTGTGTCCATTTAAGCACAGCATCATTAATGGTAGGTCGTGGACATGTCATTCCGTCTCCAAACAAACCTAAGTGTCGTAAGCCACTACCTGCGCACCATTTTATAATTTCTCTATTGTTTGCATTATTATGAATGCGTTTTGGATTTCCTGTTCTTAACCTGGCTTTTCTATTGACCTTGCTTTTTGCTTTTTTCCAGTATCCTTGACCAGGCAGTCCTGAATCTAATTGTTGATCTCCAGGTTTTGTTTGTTCTGGTTAGATTCTGGTAGACATGTGCAATTTGTTTCGTTCCGAATGTCCAAAGTTCCGAATAGCCTAATTTCGGAAGTTCCGAAGTGCTTCGGATTTCAGAAAAGTGGCAAAACAGGAGAGGATTGGGGTTAGGGGTTGGGGTAGGGTTAGTGGTTGGGGTAGAGGTAGGGTTAGGTTTAGGGGTAGGGTTAGTGGTTGGGGTAGGGCTAGGGGAGGGTTAGTGGTTGGAGTAGGGTTAAGGTAGGGTAACCCTAACCCTATTCCTAACCCTACCCCTAACCTTACCATACCCCTAACCATACCCTAATGTTACACCTAACCCTACCATAACCCTATCCCTAACCCTACCCCTTACCCTACCCATTCCCTAACATTGCCCCTACCCTAACCTTACCCCTAACCTAATCCTACCCCTAACCCTACCTCTACCTCTAACCCTACCCCTACACTTACCTGAAGTTCCAAAGTGTCGAAGTTCTGAAGTGCCAAACCGAAGTGCCGAATTTCGGAATGCCGAACCGAATCGAATATTTTTCTCATGCACATCCCTAGATTTTGGCTTAATTATACATATGATAATTCTGCTACTTTCAATTTCTATACTAAGTGTTAAGGTCCGGTAATATGACTCTTCTATTACTACTACTGTGCATTTGTTCAGCATTTAATTATATATTGCTGAGGATTCACTCCATCCATTCCTGTCAAGTAGTTATAGTGTAAGGAATGTACTTGCCCTATCCAAGCGTAGCCTACCAAACAGTTTAACATTGGGTGCAATGATTGTTTGCATTTCCTAATAGAATTCTGGGGGGAGGGGGAGTCGCATATGTAGAGTGAAATTAGGCTTAAGACCAATGGTTATTTAGTAGATGGGTTATATTTCCATGTATAAAGTCACTTTACAACCATAAGAATGTGTAGCACCTTCATTAGGGTGCACCAAGGCATATTTATCAATTTATTCAATCCTAAAGTACTTTTATTTCCATTTATCAAATATACTGAATCCTTGTGCATAGTTTTCAAAGACAAGCTGAATTTTATCTAAATGATTCAAAATGACCAATTTTGTAGAGGATTCTATGAAGCTTGTTCTCTATCTTTGACCACATAATGAGCAACCACAATTGATCCAGAACAGCAGGTGGTGTCTAAATGGAGTCAGGAGGAACAAATCAGTCTGCATTAGGGTATTCCTGAGTACACATTACAGACTCCTTGCAAGTTTACAATTGCGTTTAAATTTTTTTATCCTTATATTTCCAGTTTTTTTGTTCCTCTCCTCTTCTTTTAACAACTTTTTAAATGATAAACCCATATAAAAAAGGCAAATAAAGTATCATCGGTTTGGAATAGAAACTAGGATATAAAAACCATCCAAAAGCATGGAGAACATTATATATGCTCTCATGTAATCTATAGATTAAGTTGTACACTAATCTAGCACAACTTTCTTTTCCTTTTATGATGAGAAAACAAACACTGAATATAAAACAACAAAATAGTGGGTAATAATATTCAATGAATAATTAAAATAATTAATATTAGCAACCACCTCATTAAATATGTGATTTTGTGGATGTGATATATAGAAAGGTGCAGCCTGTAATTGTGGGAGGGTTTACCCGGCTATAAAAATCCAAGCTACCTCCATTACATGGCTAATACTGCTGGTTTTATCCCTCCCACCTCTCCCCTTTTTCACTATCACTCTTTTATTACAGGCCTTCCCTGATATGTCGGTTTCGGCACACCACAACTGACTTGCATATACGTCTAATTATCTTATAAGTGCGGCTTTTTAATCCCCGAACACAAATAAACAAATAAAGGGGGCGCCAACATATATATTATGCAAGACTTTATGCTTGATAAATACTTATGTTTTATATATTTTGGTGCCTCCTAGATTTGTTTAGAAAACAAGCATTGATACTATTTTAGTTTAACAGATGAGTACAAGGGACGCAGATAGTGAAAAATAATTTTCTAATTCGATAAGTCTTTTGACACCACCAAAACATGTTTCATGTTTCCGAAAAACATGAAAGACGTAAATGACCAGTAGAATCTTTTTGGATTTCTGTTGTCTAATAAAAGCCAACCATGTAAAAATGGTGTAGAAATGTATCTATATTCCTTGGTTATTCCAAGGAATTTGACTTTTTTACCCAAATTTAATAATCAAGATTCACATTTGGGTAGAAAATGCTGTAAAGAAGGCTATTGACTATGACCTCAATTTAATTCTTTTGGATAAGCTTTTGAAATCATCATAATCTGCTAGGAAATACATTTTTAAATGATCTTATCTGCAAAAATGAATGATGACTTAAGTGGATAAATCATTTGTAGAAGTTTTCTAACAGGTTGTGATAATTTAAAAAGCTGACACAAAAGAATCAATCAAGGCCTTTGATTGCATAAGTTTGTATGGAGCGCTAAAGAGAATCCTTAACAATTATGATGGTTAATATAATGAAAGACTATAACAAGTATTTTTTTATAAGATGATTAATGGATGTAGGAAGAACTTAATAATACAAGCGGACATGCGCTCACGTGAGGCTCCATACAAAAAGGTGAATCTACAAAGGAGGAATTATCTAAATACAAGACTCATGCTTGCTGTTATGCACCTTTGGTATGCCACACAAAGTGTCATTGTCATGGTGTTGTAATTATAAAAAAAAAAAAAAAAAAAACTGAGCCAGCTCCTGTCACAGGAAACTAAAAAGAGGAACTAGGAGTCTTGTGAAAAAAGAAAAGCAAGAAAAAATTGCAGAGCTATTCAGTCTGCATAGTGTCAGTCTTTCTGTACAGAAGTTCTAGTTTGTCCTTCTTGCAAAAAGGGCAAAATTTACGGGATTTCTACACTCTGAGTTTCGACAACTGTTTGGTGAGTCCTGAATTATAATTGTCTGCTTCATGGAGTTTAGATATTTTTAAAATTTAATATTTGTATGTTTGGAACATAGTAGATTCAACTAATAGTGATGCCCAGGGATAGGCAACCTTTGGCACTCCAGATGTTGTGGACTACATTTCCCTTGATGCTTTGCCAGCATTATGGCTTTAAGAACAATATGGGAGATGTGGTCTACAACATGTGGAGTGTTGAAGGTTGCCTATAGCAAAGTCCAACTAGCGAGAGATCTATGGGCAGGTGCTGCCCCTAAGTTGCCTATGATCACCCTCCCCGCCATAGTTAGTACATCCCTGATTTAGGTTGTGTTGGATTACAAGAAATCAGTATCCAATATAATGAGAAACATATAATAAGAAAGTATAGTGCAGTGCACAGCTGGTACGTGTAGGTCAGTCGTATGCACATGTCTCTTTGAAACAGGGTAATGGCATCTACCCTACTGATAGATCATAAGGTGCATTGATAGCTTTAAGACATGCACATGGTTTACAATGATGAGTAAATAAACATAAACAGGCATTATTTTATTTATAGTTGTGTGTACTAAAAGGTAATTTCCAAAAAGACGCTAGATGAGACAAGTTCCTCCAGAAAATAAAAGAAAACGATGTAACAATTATGTATTATATACTTTTATTAAGACAAATGCTTTAAATTACAGTATTGAACAATAACATTCTAGTTTTATTAATGGTGGTTATGTAACATAATTGTGATTGATGTAGATCATTAATAGGATTGTCCCATGCAGTGATTGTCTATAGAATGCTTTCGGGTCACATATTGTTTGACATTATGTTTAGAACCGATATAAGTGGTTGTTTAGTAGCGCAGTCATATTTCGATGTATAATATCACTTTACAGTCATAGGCATGTTCAGCACATTTCATTAGAGTGTACCAATGCATTTTCATTAAATCTATTCAATCCTAAAATACTTTTATTTCTATTCATCAAATATATTAAATAATTGTTCATGGGTTTCAAAGAAAAGCTAAATTTTATCTAAATGATTCAAAATGACAATTTAAAAAAAAAAAATTTATACATCAGAATATGGTATTGCTATTTCATACTTTATGTACATCAGGGTTGACCTTATCAAATACCAAATCATCATCATTTGTTTTATTTTCATATTATTTTCTTTTGTGAATATGTATCTTCCTATCTCCCAGTTTTGTTTATCTTGTTTTCCTTAAATTTTATTTAACAACCAAATAGACATACAGACTAACCTACCCAGACATGCCCAAGTTTGTTCAGTCTTCTATGAAGTTTCTTCTTTAACTTTGACCACATAATGAGAAACCACAATTAATGCAAAAGAGCAGGTGGGGCCTGAATTGTTTTAGGGGGGAAAAATCAGCCCATACTAGGATGTGACTTAGTACACACTGCATATGATTGTGTTTAACCCCTTAAGGACACATGACATGTGTGACATGTCATGATTCCCTTTTATTCCAGAAGTTTGGTCCTTAAGGGGTTAAAAATATATATATCTTCGTATTCCTGTTTATGTCAACTTTTTTGTTCCTCCCTCTTCTATTATCTAGATTAGATGATAAACCCAGATAAAAAAGGGGACTTAAAGTAGCAATAGTCTAGAACATTCTTGTCTACTTTTCTCAAGAGAATTTCCTGCAGGAAAGTAAAATTCTAATATGAGGAGTTAGTCAGTAAACTATGAATCATGGCATATTGAAAGAGGGATTTACAAATTATAGTCCAAATTGCCAAGCTACAAAAGATTTTAGATGCACTAGTTCACCGGTTTGCTTGTTTTAGCCTGCAATTCGCAATTCCCTTCACGAGATTTCTAACAGTGATATACATTGAATGCCATTAATAAAGTTGGTGGGAATAAATATATTGACAAGAATACCAGTCAAAGAAAATAATTTGTATAAAATGCAGGACTGGAGCATATGTTCACTGGGAGTCAGCCAAAGGCTTGGATCCTGCTGTGAAACATCCAGCAAATACAACAAATTGCAAAAGATTGCTAGCTCACAATAAAGAACATCTAAATAAAACAATATAATTATACAACGTGGATGAAAAATGTGACAGACTGGGACATAGCAGCATAGATAGCAAAGACAAGACGTTAACACTTTTCATGTCTGGAAGGCAATTCATCAGAGACAAATTATGTTATGGTACTTCCATATACAGGTAGTTCCCGACTTTACGAACTAATTGGTTCCGAAGCCTAGTTCATAAAGTGAGAACTAATTTCCCATAGACACAATGTAATAAACACGGGTTCTGTTCCTGACCAACAAATTTTACCATTGAAACCTAAATTATTAAGTACAAATACAAAATGAAAGCATAACAAATACATGTATGTTGTAGGAATTCTAAAGGCATGCATACCATATTGAAATCTTCATCAAATTATCATCAATAACTTTTCTGTTACTCCTTTTATTTTTACAGCTCTCAAACTTTCTTCCTTCTCCCCCTTTTCAGACTTTT